CTGTCAATATGGGGTGCTGTGTGTACATTAATGAGGGAAAAAATGAACTTAAATGATTTTAGCATATGGCTGCAATGTAACAAAGAGTGAAAAATTTAAGGGGGTCTGAATACTTTCCGTCCCCACTGTATATCTGTCAGTTTCTTAGATATACCATTCATATATTTGTAATTATGATAATAAATAAATCAGAATTTGCATTTGAAGAGAAGTAGTTTTTGACCCCATATCTGGGGACAGTTGCAAAGAACTCAACATCCATTAAAATTAAACTAATTAACTTTGATTTGTCTGGGTTTTACAAACAATATACTGTATCTATGAAAACTGCAGTTAACTTGTTTTTGTTTGTGGCTTTCCTGGGGAGTAGCCTACCTTACGCTCAGCTGGTATTTGATGCTTAACTTCTGTCTTACAAAAAAAAAAAAAAAAAGGTACAAGGTGGTGGGGCAAATTACCAAATCCCGTGTCACTGGCCTAGCTTCAACTGTTGCGCCATCAGCCCTGACCAGATCTGACGCTCTTGTCGGAAGATGAAGGCTAGGAGGATATCCCTATCCGTGAACTTAACATTTCTGGGGGGCAAGTCCAAAAGGAAAGCTCATGCTTAGCAGCTGTTTTCCTGTTATGGGTGAAGGGCTAACTCTTGGATCTAGCACATTTCTGACTGGACCAAAAAGGCACAGCTGTCCCTTGTTGCAACCAGGCCCACATTATTCTACAGTCAGTACAATAAAAGCCTGGATGGAAAAAAAAAATCTAAACCAGGAAGAAATATTACATAATAACTGAACATAACATTTTAATAAAAATCAAACATGGCTGCTGCTTTCTATTACTGCCTACAGCCATATATGACAATAAACTGGTCTTCTACTGGATTATACAATAACTTTTAAATTACTGTGTGATGGCATATGCACTGAATGTAACTTTGCACAGCACATTCCCTTTCTTCATGGTGATTACACATTAATGCCTCTCAGCCATGTGTTAAAACCTGTGGACACCCAATGAACATTGGTCCTTGTATCTAAAAGTCACTGAAGCTCATCCAAATTACACTGGCTTCAATGAACCATTGATGTTAAAGTGTGCTAAAGCACAGGAAGACTCTGAAAACAATTTAAGCTTTGATTAGATATTATGTTTATAGTCTGCTCCACCATTTGGATATTAGATTAAAATGTTTTGGGGTTCTCCCACCCGTCGCTGTTGGTTCACCTACTCCATCACCTCTGTAACACTAAAGGCCATTATCGTTCTCACTGATATGTCCCTGGACAGTTTCGGTGCTGTCAGGTAGGTTAATTTGTAACTTTCTACGAGGCTGTTAACACCACACGCAACTGATAACCTGCATAAGCTTTTCTGTAGTAAAATGGCGCTGGTCATTTGTTTACAAATGTATGATCCAGTTTTGGTGCTAAAGTCTCAGACAATGAGTAAATGACCACAATACAGCGTCTTACACAGCGTGAACCAAAGCCTCACCCTAAAGTGAATGGAATCAATAACTGTCAGTGATAAGAATGGAGTTGAAGACTGGACTTTTCTCCATCAATAAAAGATTCTAATGAAAAGAGCATGACATAAATGGATCAACCATAGGTTTATATTAGTGGAAAATCAGTGTCCTGACCTTTCATGACAGTTAAAAACAGGACATGCTAATCATATTTTCTTTATGCTTTGTACACATGCTTGTAGTTCTTCTGCTGTACTCAGTCTGCAAAACAGATCCAATATATCCAATATGAGATAATCCAATTAAATCAAGATTATATATGGTTCACACCAGCGTTTGTTGTACTCAGGCACCTGCCATTTAACGTCAATGATTTTCTGATAACCAAAATCCTTATGCAGTTCAAAGTTATTTTATTTAATAAGATGGGAAGCACACTGTTTCACACAGCATAGTACAGTTAAATGTAAAAAGGTATGACTGTCCAGTAAGTGTGTTACCTCTCTTAACCTAAATTGACATTTTCCAAAAATAAATACAAACATCTGGTCATTAACTCCACAGCAGAAGCTGGACTACATCCTTCTGTCAGTGGAATAGCAGAGTCACTGTTACCTGACCAGTAAACAAATCACATGGTTTCTTTTGGCATTACAAGCTCCACTTCCTACTGCACCAATAACACTTTCCTTAACAAGTCAAAAACAGTGAAACCGTTACAGAACAGCAACTGCATTTTAATAAAGATGATTTTTTTTTAACTAAATGTAGAAATCAGTGTAGGAAGTTTAGGCTGAGGTGCACACACTAAGAAATCAAATAGAACTGAGCTGCTGTTTGTTTATTCTAAGTTATTTACACAGGTAATTAGAAAGTGCCATGCTATAATGTGTGAGTAGACAGCAAAGTAATGTCATGGACATGGTGACTGGCAGCCCTGTTAAAAACAGGAGAACAGGTTATTTACTGGCATTATTCAAACCCTTAAATGTGTAATATGTGTAATAGTCATTTTTAAACCAAACAGCTCAAGATGTCTCCACACAGAATTAATTTTTTATGTAGTGGGTCAGTCCAGAAAAATGTCTTCACACCCAGGTTAGGATTTGGCAGCTCCCTTTGACACAGCCAGGCCGATGAGGCCCGCTAAACCGGCCACGCCAAGACCGATTCCCCCAACAATCGCCATGCCAACCAAGCCATCTGGATGACGATAGGTGAATGTCAGTATTGTGGATTTATACACCCAAAAACAGGATCAAACAATTAAAACAAGTTCCATTATCAAATTACAACTCACCTTTCTTTAGAGCCTTTTCAATGAGTTTCTCCAGCTCCAGAGCCTGTTTGTTCCCCGGCTCATTCCTTAGAAGAGTCCGGATGTACTTCAAGGCTTTTTCATATTGCTAAGAAAAGAACAGCGATGAGGAAAATGCACTGTGATATATGTTATAATATGTGAAGGCTGCATTGAAGCTCACATAATGACACATACTCAGGTCAAAAAAAACAAACAAAAAAGCTAAAAACGTAACAATGTTAGAGCTGCCATTACTTCAGGAGTGTCACTTACTTTTAGTCTGTAGTTGGCCACTGCAAGGTAGAACAAATAGTCCCGGGAGTCGTCCTTTGATGCCTTCTGAACAAGCTCTTCATGGCAAACAACAAAAAAGAAAAAACAAATTCAATCTAATATCTTTTTACCATCCTGTCTGAAATTCAGTGTATAGCAACAGTGAATGACACCTAGCAACAATATTATCAAATGATTTTATGTTATACATCATGTTTATTTCTCAGCTGTATATGTCTTTTTACATATCAATTCATTAAAAACTAAATTTGAAGGATCATTATCATAACAGTTAGAACAATTGTTCTGCCATACGTTTGATTAGGACTCTAAAACACCAGTAGCAGCTGGGATCTATTAGGTGACAGTAATGTATTGAAATAAATGCTTTATTTGAAAACAATAACAGAAAACAGAACATATAAAATACATTAACTTACCCTCCAAAAGGACAATTCCCTTCTTGATATCCTCTGAATATTTACTCCTGATCAGACACCAAGCATATTCAAATTTTGTTTCTCTGGAAACTGCTCCCTTCTTCAGCTCACTGTTGTACTTTTTCTCAAATTTCTGTCGTAACAAAGCAACCAATGAGTTATTTAAGGAGATGACGTATTTTGGCAGTTAGCAGTGACTAAGTAATAATGTTTTTAGGTCAGCAGTGATACAGGCATTCAGACGACAGTTGTCAAGTTACTACATGAAGTTCACACAAGCACTTTCTTGTTGTTAGCACTGATCATCAGTCATATTGTATTTTAGGCAAAAATAATATTAACACCGTAATCACATTTTAAGCATACAAATGACCGTTAGCATTAGCGTTAGCCAGCTAACGCTAGGTTACGCAATAAGCATCTCGACACTTCGCATTTAAATTACGTTTGGGTATTTACAAAACTTAACAGTCGTTATGAGGAGCCCAGTGTGAGTCGGCTATGGGTTCACCTGTATGCTTATGAAAGATAGAAGTTTATCAATGTGAAAACTTACTAAAAGGTCTTCAGGAGCCACCACATCACTCAGTACAGCCTCCATGCTTCCGGAAACAAATGTCGGAAACGTCCACTTTTGTCACGTGACGTTACGCAACTGCAACGTCAAATTATCCCTACAAGACTAAAATCTGTATTGAATTCAATTACTGAAGAGTCACAATCAGGTTTTATGAAAAACAGACATATTACAAATAATATTAGACTTGTTTTAGATATTTTGGACTATCCTGATCTTATAGATGATGATGGTTTTATTTTATTTTTAGATTTTTACAAAGCATTTGATACTGTAGAACACAAGTTTATTTTCCAAACTTTAAATAAATTTGGATTTGGTGATTTCTTCACCGCTGCTATCAAGACATTATATAAGAACAGTAATAGCTCTATCAAACGTATAGCAGGCAGTTCTCCTAGGTTTAACATACAGTACATCGGGGAATTCGACAAGGATGCCCTGCCTCTCCATATTTGTTTTTGCTGGTTGCCCAACTTCTTGCTTATCACATTCATTCTAGTGATATTAAAGGCATCTCCATCACGAATAGAGAATTAGTTATCACTCAGCTAGCAGATGATACGACTCTCTTCCTAAAGGAAGAAAGTCAAATACCTATTGCTATTGAAGCAGTTGCAGAATTCTCAAGGGCGTCCGGTCTTTATCTTAATATTAAAAAATGTGAACTGATGGCAATAAAAGAATGTAATACTTCCATTCTTTATAGTATTCCAGTTAAAAATGAAATCTGCTATTTGGGCATTCTAATCACAAAAAAACAAAATTCAAGATGCTATTTAAACTTCTCCACCATAATTGAAAAAACTAAAAAGAAATTTAATCAATGGCTATTAAGAGATCTCTCCCTGAGAGGTAGAAGTTTAATCACAAAGGCAGAAGGGATCGCTCGTTTAACTTATGCTGCATTAGCTCTAGATCTTGACAAAAAAATTTGTAAAGAAATTGATCAGATGCTTGGCAATTTTTTGTGGAAAAATAATGTACATCATATTAAAAAAGCTGTTATTATGAACACATATGAAAGTGATGGATTAAACTTTTTAGACTTGTCCACTCTAAATAATACTTTAAAGGTCAATTGGATAAGACAATTATCTCAAAACTCAACATCTGTTTGATTTGATTTGATTTAATTTATTCTTTCAAGCATGTAAAACAGTTGATATGACAACACACATAATTTTACACATATCCAACAAATGCTAATCCAATATCAATTTGCTTATACCTAGTACATGCTTGAATGGAGTAGGAAGAAGTCAGACTTATCCAGTCCTACCCCATGACATCATCTTACCATCATTGGTTTGCAAGCAGTATCTCTACATAAATAATTCTCTTCTACACCACACAAGTAATATACTAAAAAAATTATAACAGAGTGTTAACATTCTTACATAATTACATTCTTAAATAATTATCTTCTACACCACACAAGTAATATACTAAAGAATTATTACAAAGTGTTAACATTCATACACCACACCCACAATGTTCCATCTAATCAATCATTAAGCCTGTTCTTGAATATATCTTGATTGACACATACCTTTATATTTATGTTTAAACTCATCAATTCTAGTACTATTTTTT